AAATTCTTTTGTTCTTTACAAAGTAGGATGTCAAAGATTTATTGCCAACTCAATTCTAATGAATGCCTTCATTTCATAAAGCATAAATAAATCTGAAAAACTAGCCAATATTAAATTCCTTCTTCAGTATATAGAAAAGAAAGAAAATCGTGAATTTCGTAAGGTGTTTAAGGTGTTAGAGGAAGCTTCCCAAAAAAAAGAAAATCACGGATGAAGATAAATCACACGCTGAAGATTATGAGTATAATGTTATTTTGTACGTTTTTTCAGTTCCTTATTTTGTGTGTTAGTATTTTGCTTTGCCTTGTATAATAAAAATATTGATTTGGGTTATATATTAGTCTTTTGAAAATTTTTTTTTAAAGAAGTCCCTCAGTGAAAATTTGTATTATTTTTTACAAAAGAACTGTATGTCACATTGGGTCTTAATTCTTAAAAATATAATACCTGAATACTCGTTTGATCTCTGATAAAAGTTAAATCTTTTAAAACTATAACCACTTTATTTCCAGGAAAAATTAAAACTTTGAATCTTCAGTATCTCAAAACGAGAAAAAGTCACTTAGGGACTTTTTGCATAGAGCCCTTCAATTGAACGATAATGTTTATATACAGGGTGGGGCACCGAAAACGATAAAAGATCGAATATCTTCAAAACACATGTTCTCTGAAGAAAATGCAAAAACCCGTCGATTTGAAATCCAAAGCGGACATCTTTCTATCATAACCTCAATTGTAAATACCTCTCCTCCCACCCCTCGATCAACATCCCCAAATAATTTGAATAGGGAAAGTAGTAGGTGTGACACACCATTGAAAAGGTAATTTCATAAGGAATTCGGCTATGTCGATTTTCGCTACCTAACTTTCTATTTTGGCGGCCTCTTGCGGTAAAAAAACTGTTCCATATTCCAAATTATGATACTTCATTTGCAAGCTGATTTGACATTAATTCGGCGACAATGCATTATGGAATTTGTCTAAGGGAAAAAACAAAATGGCGGCTCCACAATGGCGGACAAAATTTGCAATTATGATCCGATTTGAGTCAAAATTGATAAGTGGTGGTTTTCAGGGTCGGAAATTATGATTTGTCAATGCAAAAAACAATATGATGGCGGACGAGATGTATAATTATAGTCCGATTCGAATCAAAATAAGTTTTTTCAGGGTCGGAAATTATAATTGTTTGTCGATGCAAACAACCAAGATGGCGGGCGAAATTTGTAATTATGGTTCGATTCGACCCGGCACCGAAAACGAATTTTTCAAAACAGATGTGTTGTACAGTAATACAAAAACACGTCGATTTTATGTCTGAGGGAACATCTTTTTGTCGTAACCTCAACTGGCATGCCTCTCTTCCCACCTCTTGGTCACTCAATAAATTTTGAAGAGGGAAAGTACTAAGTGTGACTCAGGAACCGGCAGTGAAAAGGTTATTTCCATGAGGAATTCAGACTTGTGAGTGTTCGCTACCTAACTTTTCATTTTGGCACCCTATTGCGGAATAAACAACGGTTTCGTATTCCAACTTATGATGATATTGTATTTGAAAGCTAATTTGAACAATTCACGAGAAAAGAACTAAAATTGAAAAAATCAACATTGCATGAACTTGAAAATTGGAAAATTGTGCATAAATTTCACTAAGATCAATCCAAACTACATTGATTCACAGTAGATGCTCGAAGTGTTTTCCATTCACTGCCATACATGAGTATAAGTTCGTCTCAAAACGTTGTCTGACGTTTTGGAGCATGTCTGGGGTTATTTGACGACATTCGGTTATAATACGTTGACATAACTCTTCTAATGAACCTGTCTGAGTGGCGTATATTTTACTTTGCGAATGGTCGCACAAAAAGTAATCTAAGCGGAATAAATCGGGAGATCGGGGAGGCCTTTCAATGCATTCTTTTCTTTCAGTTTAGTGTCTAGGAAACCACTACCGCTACAGACGGAGGAGCTCCGTCCTGTTGGTATATTAGGTGATTCTCAAGGTATCGGTTATCGTTTTCTATTATGTCCGTTAACGTTGGATCAACGGTATCTTTGAGTAATTCCAAATACATGTCTCCAGTCAGATTACCTGGTAGAAAAAAAATGGACCAATAATATGATCGCCAAACATTAAAGCCAAATTCTTTTTAGTCATACTGGAAACTTGTAAAACCCCCATATGCCAATTTTGAATCGAATCGAACCACAATTATAAATATCGTTCGCCATCTTGTTTTTTGCATCGACAAAACAATCATAATTATCTACCCAGAAAATCCCCACATACCAATTTTGATTCGAATCGGACAATAATTATAAATTTCGTCCACCATCTTGGAGCCACCATATTGTTTTTTTGCATTGACAAATAAATCATAACTTCTGACCCTGAAAACCACCACTTATCAATTTTGAATCAAATCGGACCATAATTGCAAACCTTGTCCGCCATTGTGAAGCCGCCATTTTGTTTTTTTTTCCTCAGAAACATTCCCTAACGAATTGTAACCGAATTTTTGTCAAATCAGCTTGTAAATGGAGTATCATAATTTGGAATACGGAACAGTTTTTTCCCGCAAGAGGCCGCCAAAATAGAAAGTTAGGTAGCAAAAGTTGACATAGCCGAATTCCTTATGAAATTACCTTCTTTAATGTGTCACACCTACTTTTCCTATTCAAATTGTTTGGGTGATAGTGACCGAGGGGTGGTGGAAGAGGTATGACAGTTGAGGTTATGATAGAAATATGTCCCACTTGGATTACAAATCGATGTGTTTTTGCATTTTTTTCAGAAAACTGGTGTTTTGAAAATATTCGATATGTTTCGTTTTTGGTGCCTCACCCTATGTAAGCAAACAGTTTTTCATTTTTCTTCACATCATGATGGTGTTAAATTGGTTTTAGTTGGAGATATTATACATATTAAAATGCTGTATTTCGTAAAGACTTCTGTTATTAAAAACTTTTTGAAAATAGAACCTCGATGTATCCCATTCGTTTAAAAACATTATTTTCAATAACAAGCTTATATGCTATCTTTCCAATAATATTTATAAATGATTAAAATATATTTTTCTTGCACGTGGCGGATTGATTAGATCTAAATTTATAAATATGTGGTGGGTTTGAGCGGTTTCCATTCATCTCTGAATAAAATTGATGAGAGACCATAAACGGACAATTTAAAAACGATTACGCCTCATGTCAAGTGAATATTCATTATTATCGAATTAACCTGGCCATAGCTTGATATGTGAGTAGGGTACTCTGCCTCNTATGGGGCTCATATTTGGTGGAGGTACTTAACCGGGTACAAGGTATCCCCCTGTATATTAATCTGCCGCGCTTCAGTAAATCCCGAAATCCCCGCTTGGGCTCTCCTATTATATATTCTAAACGTAATTAGAAATATATTACTCGAGCTGTAACACTGACAAGGACGATTTTATCGAAACAAGGCAACCGAGTTGGTGGGGACATTCACAAAGGATGGCGAATACAAGACAGGCGAAGAAGATATGGGAGGCAAAAATGAATAGTTGAAAAAAGGAAGACTTAGGCAAACATGGAACGAAACACTTTATAAGATACTAGCGGACCCAGCGAACGCCATTCCACCTAACAGTCAATGAATGGGCCGATTTACGATTTTACATTTGATACAAAATTATCAAGTATAATAAAATAAATGCTATTGGCATATAATAAAATAAATGGGAATTGGTAGGANAATTCGTCACTTGGTAACAAAATGTGATTAGAAACTCAATCAGCTTCATGTCACACTAAATTGAAAGCAGCTTCTTGGACTAGTGGTTAGATCTCTGAGCTAGTGTGTACCTGTGTTTGACCTCTGGTCAAGTCATATCTCAAGACATTTTTTTAAACTAAAATTGAAAAAAAAAATTAAAATAAAAAGTATTTTTGAATGCTTCTTTAGGATGCTTATTGTTATGAAATTCAATGGTATTATTCTGATTCCGGATATCCTTCACAAATGAAGCTTATTTTAAAATATTTCTGCTGATTCATAGAAAAAGTATACTATTCTACTTGCGAAAATGCCAATACTCACTGGTACGACAAATAGTCTCACCAGTAATGGTAACGTTTCTCATAAAACAAAATACTATTATTTACGTTTCACTTCATTGTTTGTAAGGTAACGACAGGTTTTCATTCTTTCTGGACTGAAAGTCTATAACCATACGAACCATACCTAATGAGACAAAAAAAGATTCGTCAGTTGAAGATTTGAGGAGTTGACCGAGTAAGGGAGAATCAGTCGATTAGTTTATTATGTGAAACGTTTCACAGAAAACGCCTATATTTCCATATCTATCGAAAAAAATTAATCGTTAAGATGATCCAAACTCCACCTAGCAGGAATACAATGTTATTTCCCTACTCGGCATTCGAAACTAATCATTTTGAGTCTCTTTCTTCGAGACGAAAAATATTTATACCTAGGTAAGTATAGAAATCCTACGTCAAGTGTTGATAACCTTGCACGAGTTGAAAATCACGTAGAGAAAACATGATTTACGTCGTTGTTATTATAGACTTTAGAAAACAAAGCTTTTCAAATATTCAAAACTACGCACGTTCGATAATTGCGAAATATCTATCTATGAATTATTCAAAATCCAAAACGACAGAGTAGATATTCCCAAAAGTATAGTTTTTTCTTTTCAAATCGTTTTAGATGACTTGTAAAATCAGATTAATTCGGTACTTCTTGGACAAAAGTCTTTGTTCGTTTTCAACAAAAACCAAATAATCCAAGAAGTATTTCGTCAGAGAAGAAATCGTACGCCCCTCTCTAGCCATACAACAGTTACAAGGCAACTTTCCAAGTACGTCCGCCATCATGCTCACAGTGTACGGTTTTTTGGAACTTGTTTCTCTGTCGCACCCATTCTCCGAGGCGATCTCCTGCTTCGTTCGCCGTGACGAAAACACCCGAACAGGGTCGCTTTCATCGTTCGTCGTTCGAATCGAATCAGTCGAATTTCCGCAAGGAGTGTGGTGTGGGTGCACTGGTGCGCTGCCGAAAGGCTTGACCGTCCTTTTTTGTTATTTTTTTGATATTTGTTCATTGTTCCGGAAAACGGTTCGTCGTGTCTAGCTACATCGCTAACGTAACGGCCGCCTGCGATCGACAATTTCGTGTAAACGAGTGCAGTGCGATCGTGTCAATGGCGCTGAAGTTTCAGTAACCAACCAACTCGGGACATATTTCGAGCGGATTCGAATAGTTTCAATGAAGGCGGAGAACAGTTGATCGACAGAAAGTGCATACCTAGTTGAGAAACAGCTGACGGTCTGGAAACGATACAAAGTGTCCCAGTTCATCTTCCTAATTTGATTTTAATATCCCAAGGTGAGTGATCGTTTAACAACGTGTCTGAAATTTCTCTTTGTGCGATACGTGAGGTGGTGCAATCTTTTGTGCGTCCCGCGGGGTTGCTTTCGAGACAGATGCACATCGTTCCGACGTGACCTGTGGCCTTCTTACCACAAAGTGAGTATTCGATGACGTACAGCGTTCAGCTGCAATATCGTTGTGGCGTCATCAAGTTCGACGGAAATGTCCTGACGAAGTGGCAATTATTCATTATTGTTGTTGTATCGCATTCCAGGCGAAGGCTTTCAAGGAACGGCGGTTTTCCGCTCTGATGCTCACGAAAAGCGGAATTTTTGGGAAAGTGTATCCTTGTCGTTCATGGCAAAGGTCGTTTGGGAAAACATAATCGATCGAAATACGATTATGCAAATGAATTTTCTGTCGAAACTACGATTAGCCTTTATTTCACATGTTAAGAAGAGAGGGATTAATGCAAGGTTCCCCACGAATGATGAATAATATTTCGACAAATGTGACATAGCTACGTCAACGTGTGACGTCATTTACGATTTTTATCGCCTTTCAATAAGGTTTTAAGTAGGGTTACTTTCACGAATATTTTTTTTACAAAGGTTATTCTGGAAAATCTTGAAATGAAACAAAGGAAAATATTCGATTGTGAACTAATCTACTGTTGATTTCAATTGATGTTACCTAATTTTAGAATCTTATCAACAGCTTTCTTATGTTCAGTAGGTATTTATTTTCGACATGATTTTTCATTCTGAATCAAAACCAGGATATTATTTTCTTTGTGAACTTATTTCATTTAAAGTTGCTATTCGTTACTGATACATATAGTAGTACTTTATAGTTTTAAATAAAATAAAGTAGGTTCCGCCCGTCTCCATTTAATTTATCTGAATCCTAGATCCTAGACGAATGAACTTTCAAAACGAAAGGGTTCAAAGTGTTGAAATCAAATTATATAAAGAGTTGGTAATTTACCCAAGGAACACTAAAAGTAATGACTTCTGTAGGTCAGCAAAATTTTGAAATATTGGATTAAAATAGTGTTACATCTATCAATTGGTTGGACAATAATATTCATGAATTAATTCATAAAATAATTGACGAATTTATGGAAAACGGTAAACAATTTACATACGTTGAAATAATCAGTGTTTCATTTCTGTTTCACCCACTCGACGTAAAGTAACCTTTTAAGACAATGAAAAAATATTTTTTATGAATGTTTAACCAACACCAACTTCCTCACAATTCATAACCTTGAATGTCATTGTTTTATTTAAAATTGTGTATAATTCAACGATCGAGAAATGTGGCCGTTACTCGTGTGAATGAAGGCGATCGTCGTTAATCATTCGAGCGAGTAGTGACCATTTCTTCCGAGTAGAATACTTAACTTTTTATATGACTGATAACAGCAATATTTAAAAATAAGATTAAGTTATGTAGAATAAGAGTCGCCCCCTCAGAAGTCGACACTTGTGCGATCTGAAGATCAACGAGGTCTTGCTTTTTAACGTGCAATTCCTAACATGGGATAGTAATATCTATTCATATTTCGAACAATTTCCATGAACAAAATCATTTTTTGTTGACACAATCAATGGTGTAACTCGAATAGTTCTATAATAATAATAGAAGGTATCGATTATTCTATATCCATATTCATATTTCCATTACTGGTACTGATAGAAGGTTGTCTCATCAAATGAAAGATTTTTTCGGCAGGAACGTTTTTATTTGTCAACCAGTCATCTATATATCCTTCCGCAACAGATGTTGAATTCCACCCTTCATGTTTCTTTAAAGCAGTGATGCCTCACCCTCCACCTGCATCCACTAGCAGGGCGGCAGGTGATAGTAGAAACGTATACCCAGTATAAAGTTGGAATTTGGACGTTTTGAAATTGGTGCTATCTGTTTACATAGCTCCGAATTTATTGATTCCAATTCTTTGATTGGTGCATTTATCTGTCAGATAATTCAGAAAAAATGAATCTTTCAATACGTTACTTGGTCGCAGCTTGGATATATTTAATACAAATATGATAAAAATGGTGTATTATCGTAAAATTCCCCATTATTTTTCATTTGAATGTTCGGTATAGTGGACTAATATAACCGATCTAAAATATTTCAAGCCGCTTGTTGTCATGGAGTTCTCATGATCAATGCAACCTAGAAATAAAAACATTGAAAAATAAGGTCTAATTTTTGTTATTTTACCCAACTTCAATTCATTTGAAAATTGAGTGGTTAAAAGAAAACGTACCAGCCGTGCAGCAAATTGTGGTGACATATATCTATTTGCATTTCTAAGTACTCTCATTTTTCATTGTCTAGTGACAAACTTTTGAAAAATATCAATTTCTTACCTTTGTCGCAAGAGGTTATTTTCAGTGTTACTATCTCCATTTGGGTTTGAAGGCCGACGTAGTTTGGAACTACATCCTAACGTTTTGCCAAAGTGGCTGGCTTCTTCAGAGGTTTATTTCGTAAATCTGCTGTTATCCTCTATGACGTCTCACAAAGACTTATGCGAGGAAAAGATTAGTGGAATCTAATCTTCTAAGGCAACAGTCAAAGAGATAAACCATAAAGAAAAACCTATTTGAATTTCTGTTAACCGAAACAAAGAACGCTTCTGGTCACAAGTCACAAAGTGCACACTCCTTCCACCGTTCATTGTCTTATGGTGGAATTCTAAAAATAAACATCTACCGTTTCCTGGCGTCCTTCAGAGGATAAATACATCAAATTTTTTTATGCTTTGTTAGTTTCGACCTTAAAACCAAGTCTCGAGGCCGCAGATATCGAAACAGAGGTGAAAATCAGATTCGGATTTTTATTGTTGAGCAACAGTTTCTGGTTTTCACGAGTTCCTTGATCAATTCCCACTGAAAAGTAATGGTTTTTTCTAATGTTTCTAGTTCCGAAATTACTGATCAGTTGAAAGCTTACACGACGCACTATGGGACTGAATCGTGCGTACCGTCTCAAAAACAGGTTTTGCGAATGTTCCATATTGAACATTCTTTAAGCACATACAGTGCTTTCCTTTAATGCCTCCCCCCTTTTATTTTTTGAACGGGTTAACTTAAAAATTGAAATTTGTGATAATGAAATTAATGTATCAATACTTTATTTTGAAGTGAAATTGACAGATGAAACTTTCAAGATGGCGACTGGAAAGGGGGGGTCTTATGACACGTCTTTTTGAAGGTCCTGGCAAATGCTTCACAACCGTAGAATATAATGTCTATCTTCAACTACTAAAAAATGGCGGAACTTTTAATAATTGCCTAAATACATTGACATTTAACTACATAATATGAGGTAATAAGCTTGAGGTCACTTTTTGACATATGAACACCCTATCCGATATTTCACGCCAAACATTTTCAAACACAGTAACGTCATTATCTCTACAAATATTTATTATTCTCTGCCGTATATCCAATATTGAAGCAGGTTCAGTTTCGTAAACCTTTTGCTTCAAATAGCCCCATAAAAAAGTCCAAAGGTGTCAAATCTGGCGAACGGGCAGGCCATTCTGTAGGTCCTCGACGGCCAATCCAACGACCGGGAAAAGTAGTATCCAAATAGTTTTTTACTTGTCTGGAGTAGTGTGGTGGAGCTCCATCTTGTTGGAATACCATATCCATATCGAATTCATTAGGATTCGCTTCAACGATTTCAGTGATGAGAGGGTCAATAGTAGTTTCCAGCATATTCAAATACAGTTCCCCTGTTGAATTTTGATTAATAAATTGAGGTCCTACAATATGGTTTCCCAATATTCCTGCTCAAACGTTAATTTTTCCCGGAAAACGTGAAGGTTAGTGTCACTCCAATAACGGCAATTTTGTCTGTGAACATTTCCGTTTGAAAAAAATATACATTCGTCACTAAAACAAATATTGTGGAGATAGGTAGGATGCCTTGTAATGGTTTCCATCATGATTTTGCAGAATTCTTTCTTCGATCAGGATCATCTTCAGTTAATTGGTGTACCATTTTAATTTTGTATGGATGATACCTATTCCTCTTCAAAAGTCACCACACAATATAATGAGACACCTCACAAACATTTGCGACGGAATAAGTAGACTGTTCAGGATTTACTACCATCTCACCAATTATTTGCACTTGCTGTTCTTCCGGAATGGACGGATGACCTGAGGGCTTTTTGTTATGTACACTACTGGTAGTTGTGAATTTGGATACAAATTCCCTCAAATATTTTCTACAGATAGGACGATTTGGAAAACGTTCATTGAAAATCCTTTCGGTCTCGTGAAAGTTACGCGTCGTACCGTAAATAAAAATCGCTTCAATTTTTTCTTCCAATGGACGAGAATTGAACATTTTAGAAATTGTTGACGTGTTACCTACTAGTAAAACCGAAAACTAAATGAGAATATTCTAACTGAACAATGATGTTCATTGTCGTACTGACTTTTTTTTGTCGTTTTTATATACAAAAAATAACAAATCTCATGGGGTTGTTGGAATTTTCTAGAAATATCGATATTAATGTGTTTGTCTTCAGTTAATTATTAAATGTTCCGCCATTTCATAGTAGGTGAAGATATTGAATTCATATTCTAGGGTTGTGAAGGGCAGCTGATTAACGGAAAAACAGATTTCAAACAGACAGATTCGTCAGGAGCCTCAAAATGATGTGTCACAAGACACCCCCTTCCATTTAATTTTTTTCCCAGGTGGCGTCCAGTCGCCAACTTGAAAGTTTCATCTGTCAATTTCACTTCAAAATAAAGTATTCATGCATTTATTTCATTATCCCAAATTTCAATGTTTTAAGTTAATCCGTTTAAAAAGTAAAAGGGGGACATGAAAGAAATGCACTTTACATCTAACGGTATGTATGTATAATACATATTAGGAAGAATTTGAAATCAATTATTTCTCATAATTTCTTAATGAAACTTGAAGTTGAAGCTCAAAATATTGTCATTCATATAGAACAGAATTGACATTTTCAT